TCTTAGTTACCCAGTTCAAAACAGTTAACCTATTTTGAAAATTTGGTATTCTGGCAATTCCCAGTAAAATTTCACATCTGTTTTTATCTCAGTGCCTCATTAAAAACTTGTAACTTTACATCATGTTATACAGCACTCAGCATTTCCTACTTTATGAGAGTGCAAACAGGTGACATTCCAAACACTCTAAGTCTGAGCATTATTACAATCATCTTTTTGCCTAAGATATAGCTACAACTGGAATACTCCACCTTTCCACTTTGTGCTTTGCTTTGTTGAATTTTTGAATTTTAGTGTTTGTCTTATTTATGATATTGGCATATAATGTACAAATCCTTAAAGTCAAGTTGTGAACAGACAGATCTACCTACAAGTTCAATTAGTAGTCATCAATGGGGATTTGTTCAGTACATTTTGGGTAAGTCCTATATAAAAAGAATCACATGCCCACAAGAAATAAATACAGTTATTAGTTGAGACCTATGAGGAAAACTATCTGCTTCTGTTCTTAAAAAAGGCCACATGTTTTTTTTAATGTATCCAAATGTATATATATCATTATAATAACAGTAGCGGACTAAACCAAGAGAGAATAAGAAATATGCAATCCTTAAAAGGTTAGCCATACCAACACTTTGTGAAGTGTTTACTCTGTGAAATGTTTTGAGATATCATATTGCCTACACACAAGATTACAGAGGATATTATGAAGAATATTATGATTCTGCAGGAAAAACAAATGCTTCTGTAGTAACCGCATTTATCCAGGGAACCTATGGCTATCAATAAAAGAGCACTCTGGTCCTCCCAGAAGTGTAAAGTCCTCATGGCCTGTGAGGACTATAAATAGATTGGAGATATTGGAATTGAAGAAGAGATGTCCTGTGTAATTACACCACAAAGGCATATTCTTTGTGGACCAAAACAGCAATTCTTATTTTCTAATAGACCATATAATTTATCTATTTTTTATTGTCATCTCTTCTACTAAAATATAAATTTCATGAAGGTTACAAGCTTTGTTTTGTTTTCTGTTTCATGCCTGGCAGCTAGTTCATAAAAGAGTTTATATTACTAATGGGCTAAGAAGAAAGGATGAAAGTAGGAGAAGGTAGATTTTTGGCTTGACACAAAGACCTTTCTAATTATGTATACTGTCTACAGGTGGAGTGGTCTTATCCAGGAAATGGTACCTTGTCTAGAGCTCCAGATGAATCCACATGTTGGGCTGGGACTATTTTGGGATGACATATTAGAGGTATTTGACAACCACACTGACTTCCAGCCTTGTAGTTCTTTTTTTTTTTAAAGAAATGTCTTCTTTTTTGTTTAATCTTAATCTTTATTCTGTATCATTTTAGTTAAGGAATTCTGTTTCTTTAGTTTATGTTTAGGGAGAAGGGAAGGGAGGGAGAAAGAGAGAGAGAGAAACATCAGTGTGTGGCTGCCTCCCATATTTCCCCCACTGGGAACCTGGCCCTCAACCCAGGCATGTGCCCTGACTGGGAATTGAACTGGCAACCCCTTGGTTTGCAGGCCTGCACTCAATCCACTGAGCTACACCAGCCAGGGCCAACCTTGTGGTTCTTAAAATGGAGCTTTGCCAAATAACTTACAATTGAGGAGACTCAGGACACTTGCATTGTATTGTTAATGATGCCTACTAATTGAACTTGGGGTAAGGAGTCAGAGATAGCACTGAAACTCCCAGGTTGAGGTTCAGTTTTTCCCTTCCCATTGAAGGGAAAAACTGAACCTCAGTAGAAATGTTGGCTTGTGGTCAAATTATAAGCAATAATTGTTAGTGAACCATACAGGAGAGGACACATCCAGAAGGTGATATGTTCAGGCAAGTATAAAGCTCTGGAGAGGCTAGGATACGTCATGCTCATTTGTTAGAAAAACCCATACCCATCTCTATAAGAAGTTATCTGATAATGATGTTTAAAAGGTATGGTAGGTGAATAGTCCATTTAGTGATATAATTCATATATTTGTATAGCATGTAGGTATTATAGTATCATTTCATAGATGAGAAAATGGAGGCCCAGAGTGTCTATTAAAGGGAAGAGGTCTAACTTGAACCCCTGTCTTCAAAGTTTGAGTGTAAAGCTCTTTCTGCAGCTGCTTCAGAGAGCTCTGAATCACAAGACTGTGACCCCTTACCATGGGATTGACTAGCTGACTGCTCATTAGCAGCAACAGTGTCCACCACTCAGCTCTGGATGCCCCTTACCCCCAATTATAATCATAGTGCTTACCACATGCTACCAGGGAGCCTCATAATAAAACTGCAAAGTAATGATAGCTGTGCCAGCCAAAATTTCTTGAATGGGCTGGTGCAACCTGTTCCCCAATGCAATAAGCTCATTTTTTTTTTCTTTCTCTCTAGTGATGATGTTCATGGTGAGACCAGATAATGGGTAGTCAAGTGCAGTGGCTTGGGGGTCTGGGGAAAAACGAGCTCAACAGGGAACCATGACTAGGTTGTTAAAGTCAAGTGGCAATGAGAAGTGAAGGGAATTTGGATAGGTATGTGCAGGAGGCATTGGAGAGCATGGAGACAACATGGGGTGAATGCTGGGTAAATGCGGTTGCACTTGCTCAGCTGCAGCATTACAGCACACCTTTTTTTTTTACATTGGATTTATTTCATCCTGAAATGAAGAAGGAAGAGGCCACAGGACTAATGTGGGGGGGGGGGGTGGCAATGAACTATCAGTGTTTTGGAGAAGTAATTTTCTGTCTTATATAGCTGACAGCAGCACCTACTATATAATTTCACATTTTCTGTGAAAGCTTTTATTTACTATACAGAAAAGACTGGCCAGTAACTGCCCAGAACCCACGGCAAGAAGAAATTGGGTCAATTTTTACTTAAGAGGACTGTGCAGGGAATTGGGTGAACTGAAGGAATATAGATCATGGGTTTGTGGTATTTTGTTCATTTGCAACAATTGTTGGAATCATAATTGAGCACTACTGGATTAGGGCGCGTTCTATCAAACTAAAAATCAAAAGCTTCCCTATGGGAAAAGTCTCAATGTTATAGCTGAAAGAGGTGACAGCTACATTACTGCCATCAAAAATAATTTATTAACCGTGTCTGTGCAAAATACTTTCGTGGGCACCAAATCCTAGAGGTTTCCAGTTTCAATGCATCCTCTGTTCTCTGCAGTCTTTTCAGTGTACTGTTTGGTTTTCAACATATGAGTAAAATGAATTCCTTAAAAACTTCTTTGTGGAGACTACCACCAGACAAGAGACAGCTGATTCCATCGTACACGCCAATTACATAGTACTGGGGAGTATTAGGGCGCTGCCATCCTCAACCTCTCATTTTTTGGAGCCTGTAAGTAAAAGCCTCTTTCTGGTTTCCACTTTAGACCAGGAAATCTGAAGAGAATTGTGAAGCGCAGTTTTGCACCATCAGCATAAACTATGCTGGTGTTGGCTCTTTATTCCTTCCTTCCTTCCCCCAGGCAGCTTCCATACTGCACCTGAGATAGTGGTATACAGGTGCTTCTCTCTACCCAAGGGAAGAAGCCACCAACCTTATTTTGGATGCCATCCAAAATCGTTATAAATTTTACCTCTTACAGTCAGTTCCCTTGTGCCGTGTGTGCCTGTGCATACATCTTCCGTCTATTTAAAGACAGTACTTTTTCAAAAGGTAAGTTATCATAAATCACCTTGGGGAAATCTGCTAGGTCCAATAACATGCCATCTCTTTCAGGAACTCCGAGGGCAGAGGGCAACGTGGCTCTCCAGATCCCAAAGCACCCGCCATCTGGCAGGGGAGAGCAAACACGCTCCCGTGCGCACACGCCCCTCGCTCCCTAGCCCAGCAGCGTCAGCCTCTTACCCCATTGCAGCAGCGCCGGCGACGGCTGCATTTCTGTGCTTGGATCATTTATTTATCTTGTGCGCATTAAGAAACTATCATAAGGTGCTGGTGGGAGGTGCTACTCTGCCAGAAGCCCAACGAGTCCAAGGCGGCTCAGCTCACACTGCACCCACTCTGCAACGAGACACCCCTAGGCCGCTGTGTCTGGGTACTCGGAGCCCGGAATTTCTGACCAGTTTCTCACTTGAGCTCCCCAAGCCCGACCGGGCTGCAGCGCGAGGGCGCGATTTCGAATTCACTGCGGTTTGTTGGGTTTCCTCCACGGTGGGTGCTCCGCCTCGGCAACCACTAGAGCCCAGTGCACCCCGAGTGCCCAGGTCCCGGGCTCGAGGCGGCGGCTGCGCAGCTCGCTAGAGTTTGACTCGGGCGGCGGTGGCGCGGAGCAAGGCAAGCCCGGCCACTCGCCCTCCGCGCTGCGCTCGGATTGGTCTCTCCCAGAGAGTGCTGGCCGAGGGTTGGCTGCGGGCCGGCAGAAGAACAGGTGCACCTCACCGCCTGGACTCCCTGCGCTTCAAGTCCGGCGGTTGAGGCGGCCAGGCCGACCCCTGTGTCGGAATGCAGCTCTCCGACGCTCGGCAGTCCACCGCCGGGCAGGTCAGCTCCTGAAGGCCGCGGGGGGCCCGGCGGCAGCGTGGGCGGGCGCCCGGGGGGAGCGGGTCCGGCGCCGCGCCCTGAGGATGCTGGCGAGGCTGGAGCACATGCTAGCGGCGGGCGGCGGCAGCAACAGCAGCAGGAGCAGCAGTCTCAGCAGCTTCAGTAGACGCGGGGTCCAGGCGCGCAGGAGGCCGCGCGGAGGGCTGCAGACGCGCCCTACCGCTCCCTGAACCATCCGCAGCGCCAGGGGCCGTCTCGCCCCTCTTCCGCGCTCCTTGCCGCTCCCTCCCGGCCCGCGTCCCCTCCCCCGCTCCTCTCCACCCCGCCCGCCGCCCGCCTCTCGGGGGGAGGGGCGTGGGGGCAGGGAGCCGATTTGCATGCGGCCGCCGCGGCCGCTGCCTGAGCCCGAGCCCGCCACCGCCGGAGCCCGTGCCCGCGCCCGGCCGGCGCGGCCTCATGCCTCTGGCGCGGCCCTCGGGGGGCGAAGGTGAAGACCGGCTCCTAGGATGAGTGAAGGGGCGGCCGCTGCTTCGCCACCTGGAGCCGCTTCGGCAGCCGCCGCCTCGGCCGAGGAGGGCACCGCGGCGGCTGCGGCGGCGGCGGCGGCAGCGGGCGGGGGCCCGGACGGCGGCGGCGAAGGGGCGGCCGAGCCCCCCCGGGAGTTACGCTGTAGCGACTGCATCGTGTGGAACCGGCAGCAGACGTGGCTGTGCGTGGTGCCTCTTTTCATCGGCTTTATCGGCCTGGGGCTCAGTCTAATGCTCCTCAAATGGATCGTGGTGGGCTCCGTCAAGGAATACGTGCCCACCGACCTGGTGGACTCCAAGGGGATGGGCCAGGACCCCTTCTTCCTCTCCAAGCCCAGCTCCTTCCCCAAGGCCATGGAGACAACTACCACGACAACTTCCACCACGTCCCCAGCCACCCTCTCCTCTGGCGGTGCCGCCTCTTCCAGGACGCCCAACCGGATTAGCACCCGCCTGACCACCATCACGCGGGCTCCCACTCGCTTCCCGGGGCACCGAGTGCCCATTAGGGCCAGCCCGCGCTCCACTACAGCACGAAACACTGCGGGTCCCCCGACGGTCATGTCCACGACGGCCCCTTTCTTCAGTAGCAGCACACTAGGCTCCCGACCCCCAGTGCAAGGAACCCCCAGTACCCAGGCAATGCCCTCTTGGCCCACTGCGGCATTCGCTACCTCCTCCTACCTTCATGATTCTACTCCCTCTTGGACCCTGTCTCCCTTTCAGGATGCTGTCGCTGCCTCCTCCTCCTCCTCATCATCTTCCTCCTCTTCCACCACCACCTCGTCTTCCTCCTCTACCACCACCACGCCAGAAACTAGCACCAGCCCCAAATTTCGTAAGTAAACGCTGTCTGATCTCTGCTTTACTATTGAGTTTCCTTTCTTCCTGCTGTCTTTCTCCCCTGCTGCCTGTCTTCTAATATCCCCCACCCCGTTCCAGTTTTGGAACACATAGTGAGATAGATAGTTAAAACTGGCCAAAAAGGAGTAAAATGGTTCCTGTCTGTTTGGGTTTATGTGTGGGATGGGGGGCAGCCTGTCAAGCTCCACCTGCCCTGCTTCAGTGGGTCCCAAATGAGAGCTCATCCCCTAAATCCCTTCAAAGGGTTAACGCAGAGCAATGCCTCCTCACTGCAGACCAGCTGGCCAGCTATGGGATCCGGCTCCTTAAGAGAGCTGAGGAGGGAGGAAGGGAGGGAGGGCCTTCCCAAACGCTCTGAGCCCCTTCCCTGCCCAAAGGAAGGAGAGAAAGAAAAGCAAATGCAAATTGACCGACGGTAAACCACCATGGGAAGTTTTATGCCCCTGTGGGGCCATGGAGGGTGGTGGGATGATGATTTCATGAAAGTGTTGTTAGAAAGAAGCTGTAGACACTTAGAGCAGCCCTGACCCTGGCAGGGATCAGCAAGGGTTAATTTGAAGCTGTTGGGAGAGGTAGGGAAAGGGGAATGTCTGTAGCCTAGGGCTAAACTGATCGCTGCTTGCCCGTGGACATTCCAAGACGTAGAAAATTGATTCTGTGGCCACCAAGAGTGAGTGAACTAGGGGAAATATGAAGAGAGCCTTGCAGAGCTGCTGCCTCTGGGATCCTGATGAAGGAGGAGTTTTTTCAGCTTGCCAAGCATTTGCTTTTGTTCCTTTCCCAAAGGTGGGGTGTGAACCTAATCTCCTCTCCTGTGTCTGAAAAATATAGGTGAGATGGGAACATACAACCCTTTTTAAACAGGTCACACTTTGAATGTAGCATCTTCAACCTCTGCTCGATTGCTGCCAGTATTGGCCAGTTTACCCCAAGCATGATAGCTTTCTATTTGTATAGAGGTGTATATTTCTCTACATCTTTGTACATGTTTTAGATGACTGACTGACCTCCCATCCTTACTCCTTACCTTGTTTTTATATTAAGGAAATCTTAGGAAGCTTCTTGACATGACTATTGATCAGGATATGGGAACATTTTATATAACCTGTGAAGGTTATTTAGGACAAACCCCTAGTCTCTCAGTTTAAGTTCTGTGCAAGGCTATTCTCCCAAAACTGCCTGGTTGTGCTGTTTTAAGTGTGTATTTCTGTTTTGAGCTATAACATCTGGGGAAAAGGAAGAGTGCACACCATTAACTCTTCAGTAGGAATATCTGAGTTGCTTTCAGTCATCTGGTAATTTCTCATTTTCCTGACCTGTGGTTTTACTCTGGGTGTTATTCCTTGACAACTTGATGACTTTTTTTTTTTAATTTAGGAGTTACTGTGTTTGTGGGTAAGGTCCAAGAGAGAAATTGCTTATGCCTTTCCTTACTCTGCTTTGGGAAAAATAAGCTACATGTCAGTTGGGAGACAGGGAGAAGAGGGAAAGGAGGGAGACAGCTACAAACCAGAATGGCAGTCAAATCAGTAACTTGCTGCTTCCCTCTCCTTTGACTGAAGCAGTTATTTTTGAGAACACATTTTCTTAGTAGGTGTTTAGAGGCTTCTCTCAACAAATCTAGCCTGAGTTCCATGAAAGTATAAAGGATGTACAAGTGTATGTGTGAACATATTCAGTGGATTGTAAATATGTGTGTCTATGCTGAAGACCCCAGATTTTTTTTTACCTTTTCTTTTGACAGTTTATAAGAAAAATGGAGTGTGGGTATACTTCTCAACCTTGTGTGTGTGGCGGGGGGCGGGGGGGGGGGGTAGGGATAACATGCACACAGGACTGGGGGTGGGAAGGTATTTCAAGTTCTTTTTCAATTGGTTTCCTTGTGTTCCATTCTGGAGGCCTTTAAAGAAAAGCCCAGGGTAATTATTTCTACACCTCCACGCTCCATTCTTACATTCTCTAGAAGAGATGGCAGACTGTTTAATAAATAATAATTATTGACAGAGCCCTCAGCCCCAAGGAAAAAGGGGAGGGATCTGTTAATGGTGTCAATGTTCACATAGACATATAAGAAGTATTTGTTTTATGCGTATCTGAAGTCCAGGTATTGTTCTTTTCTAAACCTTTAATAAGAAGTCGAATTAACTGATAAAACAGAAGCATGCAGTCTAGCAGAAACTGACATGGTTTGCATATATGAACAAGGAAAATTTTATTGAAAGGAAGATTATATAGTTTCCATAAAAGATGAGTTTAAATACATAGGTTATATAGTAATTAAAAAGTATAGTTTAATTATTATTTTGGTCCAAGGTTGCAGGATGATTAGCAAACTGAAATAAAGATTTATTTGAAAGATTTTCAACACTGCTGCTGTGGGCTGAAGAATAATGTCCTGTCTGGTATTTATATTTTTTACTTGTTTTGATTATGTCACTTAAGTTCCCAGGAGAGAAATTTCTCTTTAGTCCAGCTCTCACCTCCATAGTTCAGTAGTTTTCTTTTCCTTTCTCTTTCTTCTTTTCTTTCTTTCTGTGTCTAGTCTTGTCTCCCCTCCCTCCCTTGGTCTAGTCTCCTTCCTTCCTGGTCATGGATTATGTTGTAGCACCTACAGACAGCTAAGGATGATACTCTATTTTCTTGAGACTCACTAATTCTTTAATGGTAAAGGTCTTTGCTCTTCACTGAACACCTCAAAGCTTATGGAATGAATGTCCATTGTGTTCATCTTAGGTCAATCAGAAGGATTCTGTGTATGAAGGCAGCATAACTCTTTGGAGCAGAAGAGGTTTATTCACTCTAGAATAAACACTTGCTAATGGATAATAGGATTTTTGCAGGTAAAAGCCGTTTTGTTATGTGGAAGGCTCAGTTTAGAAGTCTGTTTCTAATGTTTTTGTAGGATCAGAAATAAAGAAATGTTAAACTTGAGAGGCAAAAGGAGGGGAAGAGTTTGGAAGTTGACTCTTTTCATCTTCCAACCTTTAGACTATGAGCTGAACCAAAACTTTCCTCTGTTACTGGGATCTCTGGAGTTCCCAGTTAGTTGCCAAGGATGAGCCTTACCTTCAGATGCTTTAGAAACAAGTACTTGAAACATATTGCCACTAGTAGATTATTTTACCAAAAATATCTTTGAAGCACTTTGCATCTAAAAGTGTAGGTTAGTTTACAGATTTTTCAAGCCAAGGAGATGTTTACTACAGACAGCAGAGGAACAGTAATTTTGATCAGTGTCAGACAGTCTTTTACATCACATTGAGTTGTGTTTTCAGATTTGAAACACATATGTAGAATGTCAACACAAGTGTTAATTGTTATGTTACTCAGCAAAATTCTCTAACAGCTAAAAAGCTTAGAGTCATTGGCTAAGTTCAGATATTAAAGGCAAAGAACCAGTTTTAATGGGTAATTTTTTGGAAAGTACATAGTTAATACCAATGAGTAAGATCACAAAACTTGAATAACGTAGTTAGTGAAGAAATATATTTAAAATATATCATTCATGTTTAAACATGGTACTAGAGTAATTTTAATATAACCAAATCTGTTTAAATAAAAGTTTACCCCAACATACCTTTTGTAATTTTGAAGAGAGCCATTGACACTCTTTGACTATTTTCCTATTGGTTCCTTTTAAACATCTTTAATCTTTGAATAAGGGTACTCTTGGTTGCTTTTATAAGCAGCCTTCGACATAATTTGTTTAAATAAACTCACTCCTATATATTGTCTCCTATATACATGAATCAGGCCCTCAAAGGAATTTTAGCATAGAAGGTACTGACCCTGATCATGTGTGGTAGCCAAAGTGAGGATTCAGAGCTCAAGATCAATATTTCTTATGAAATCCAATTGAGAGCTTTTTTTATGAGCACATGCTGAACTTGAGTATGTTTTGATTTTCTTTGGCCTTAATACAGGGTTATGAGATACTTCTGCTTCATTCAGTCTTACTGTACATTTCACTTTTTGGACACTTATGGTTCAAATGGAAGAAAAGGGAGTGGGGGGTCAGCATAGAACTGACAAGGCTTTTTATGTCCTTGTTTAGTTTGGTCTCAGTGCATTATGCCTGTGCTTTAGGCCTTCCTTTTCAATTTCTCCTGGCTGAGATGAGGGATTGGCCATGCTAATTGAGATTCCTTTCTACAGGTCTGATTTGTGAATCCAGCTGCCTTCATATTGGTGGTGTTTACCTCTAGCCTTTTTTAATGCAGAGTGTTGATCTACAAGCTTGTCAGAAAGAAAGAGAAACAAGCAAACAAACAAAGTTACTTTGTGGCATCTTCCATTACTAAAGAAAACAAGTTTTCTAAATCAGGTTTGGACCATAAGCAAGGCTGTTGGAATAGGGTTTGAAACCAGTGCTATCCTGGGAGGTCTAGTGTGGAGAGGAACAAGATCATTCTTACCTCTGAACCCTTCCTCCTCTCCATACCGCAGTGAGAAAAAGGATGATTTTTATCTTGCTGATTTCCTTTGTAGAAATTCTTTCCTTATAACCTCTCAGATCCAGTGCCAAACATATCTCAATTTTCTATCTGGGAGTATCAAAAATGGAACATGAAAGTTGGCCCTGAAATGTACTAGAGCAAGGGAAGAGCCATAAATCTATGTCTGCAAAATGCATTTGAATTGCTTATGACTAGAGCTGAAATTCTTTCTTCTCCCTTTGAATCTGTTTTTATCTTAGGACGTTTGTGTTTTGTGAGGCACAGAGCTGGTACTGTGTTGACAAGTACCACTGAGACATTTTGAGATTGTAGAACTTTTACTTGTCTACATGCAGGAAAATTTTTCCTCTAGAAGCATGTATACAGTGAAGGCAGGAGGGAGGGATAGATTCAGTTTCAAGTTTTAAAATATCTGGATGAAAAAATACCCAATAAATGTTTCCTGCTCATACAATTACTAATGAAAGTCTTAGGACACGTTTAGTTTGGATTTCCATTTTCACATTTGTTTCATTGA